AAAAAGAAAAAGAAAGGAAGAGAACGACCATTCGCGATGTAGACGACGACCAAAGCTGGAAAGTTTTGCATGAAATTAAGGTAGGAAAAATTACTGCTATTACCGACGGCCCCGTACGTGCGCGGTAAGTCGGACGAAAGTGGTAAGAGCGAGACAGTGGTAAGACCAGTGGTAAGACCGTGGTAAGAGCGGCCGAGATGGGCGGCCAGGCTATAATTACAAGTGTGGCCCTGACTAATTCAATTTTCCCCATCTGGTAGCGATTTGTAGGCGGAATAACTACGGGGAACGGGCGACACACTGGATAATAGCCGCAGGAAGTGTCGTCTGGTACGGAAACGCGTAGTAAGTAAGAGAAAAGACGAAAGGGGATGGGAGGAGTGTACCGTGGCATAGGAGTAACGCAGTCGGCTGAGTAAATAAAGTCCCGTTTAAATGTAATATCTCGTTGAATTGTGCCTCGAGGCTGCTGCCGCCACCGCCTCCACCGCCGCGCCGTCGCCGAAATCCGATATGCACACACTTGGCAGGTCGATACACAGCGCCAGTTACTTAACGTTTACTAACTTTCTCTCTCTCTCTCTCTCTCTCTCTCTCTCTCTCTCTCTCTCTCTCTCTCTCTCTCTCTCGTGTCGCATTTCTGCGTATCTCCTTTGCTTTTCAGACCACCCCGTCGGAAATTTCGACAGACGGAATATCACACCGTAGAGATGTGAGAGAAACGTCGTTTGCCGCGACGATAAAGAAATGGGCTCAACGAGTTCGCGTGGATCTCACACGTCTTTCCTACGTTCGTCACTCGTACTTTATTCCTACACTCTTCCCTCGCCTTCAGTCTCCCAATGACGCCGTGCCTGCCTCGTGCATATTCCGTGGCAACACGAAGCCGCGAGCTACGACGAAGGAAATTATTTTATTTCGCACTTCAGAATATCACCCCGTGGACTCATTCATATTCATGCCCGTGCCTGAGCACTTCGTCTCCAAAATGTGCCGGTAGTCGTGCCGGTTAGTTTAAGATTCAAGCACGGTCTTCTTATACTCGGTCTAACTCCGTCCCTTATTCCCTTATCACCTTTGATTTTGTCTCTTAACGAGGATAAATATTACTTGCAATACGGTATGCCCGGTTTGCTAGGTGTTGCAGTTATTCAAATTTTGCGTCAGGCGCAATCATGTAATGATATAATATATTATTACATGATCGTATAATAATATAAATTAAGACGTAAATTAATATTCTAATTTTGTATATTCAGCACAAGTTCATACCAACTTGCATTTCTATTGTTACAATAAGATTGCAGTAATTTGTGCCATTCTTCATTAACTTTGGCTATTATTACGAAAATTTTACATACAAATAAACGAAATCATTAAGTTAAATTATGTCATCAATAATCGTCAAAAAGTCCAATCTGTCACGCTAAAAGTTAGAATCCAGAATAAGCTTTTAAAAATTCATTTTTATCTGTTATGTATTTTAATCCGTTATGTATCGGACTAGATTTTCTGATAGATATTGTAACAGAAAATATGATAAATAGTTTCAATTTTTAAATAGTTTTGTATTACACATTTTATTAAGTATTATAAGGTCAAGCTGGATTTGACATTCTATATTTTAGATTAAATTTAATTTGTGTACTTAATTCTTTTTTCCTTTTAAATAATTCTAGATTATTTGCATTTTAAAGGTTTAGATTAGAAATACTATGTAAGTATAAAAGTGTTGTGAAATCAATTACCAATCTACGTTCAGAATGATTTAATTACAAAATTGAAATCTATATTATTAATATCGCACACACAACTAATTTTATTAAATCTTATAAAAATATTAATCTTAACTTTACTAATAATGAGTTAACTTTTATCAAGATTTTCTTTTAGAGTTTACATATTATTAATAATTACATTGCTGATAGATAGAAATTGTATCCATCTCTATTCTCCGGTTTACATCGTCATTCACATACACATCAGTGAGATGACAATCGGTTCATTTCCGCAAATTACAACCGGATCTTATTCAGCTCTTATTCACAGCGCGAGGTCTAGTTACGAATGTGATTGTCTCACGACGAGTCAACTTCCCTCCAAATAATGCCATCTCCTTGGTTTATCTAAACAACCCCAACTTCCCACATTGCCCGCTTAACGCAGGCGACTCGGTTGATTAGGGTGCAAACGAACCGTAAACATTAAATTATTCATCATCTGCTCTACAGTTGAGACAGTTAATTAACAGTCTAACTGGTACCTGATTAGTTTACGTTATTAATGCGATATGATTAAAACTTTTTTGGGTCGTGTGATGTAAAGTGAATTCGTTTCACTTCGGTTGGAATGCAATAATGGCAGTTACGCGAAATTCTCAGTCTCAGCCTTGTTATCATATACATCATAACAAAATATTAAAACAAAATGTGAGAAAATTTTAATAATTAATTATAATGTTATGTTTTGAAAAAGAAATAAATTAGTTTATTAATAAATATAATATCTAAATGTAAATTCTAGTATATATATTCGATTTTATCTCTCTGCACAGATTTTATTCTTGCAGAGATATGCATGCATTACCGTTATACTGACGCGCCACTTCTGTTCTTGTCGCCGATTGCAACAGTGATTGCAACGCAAAGAACATCCATATTAAAAATCTCGCGAGAAATCTACGTAGGCGAAACATCGCAAATTAACGTCGCAAAGAAACGTCGGTTCTGCCTGAAGCGTAAGAGTTGTCGTTCCTTTTCCCGGGAATTGGTCAGATCGTAAGATTTCCCGAGTGCCCATGTTACCGATTAGTCTCGGTGCACACGACGACGCCGACGGTGAGATCGCATTTCGGGCGAAGGGGGAATTCTCTTCGTCGAGGAAACAGGTGGAACGGGAAATCAGACGGGAAGCAAGGAAGGAAGGAAGGAAGGAAGGAAAGCAGGAAGGAAGGAAGGAAGGAAGGAAGGAAGGAAGGCAGGAAGGAAGGAAGGAAGGAAGGAAACATCGAACGCGCGCGTAGCGATAGACTTCTCTCTAGAAACGAGAGAAATTGCGGGGACAGCAAGGGGGTGGCAAGTCGAGCGGCAGCACGTCACCATTGTGACGAATGATTCGCGCGTGTTCCATAGAACACCGACGTTGCGTCTCGCTGCGCGTTTCTACTACCTTCCGTCCCGCTACGAAAGCCGGTATTCGGCTTCGGAATCACGGGTGTCGGTGATATCGATCGGCGCGAAACGGGCAAATAGAAGGGAACGTAGGATGGCGACGGAGAGGCCGGGGGAGGGGCACTTAGTGAGCCACTGCATACCGAAACTTCTCTCCACACGAAGGTTCCATCGCGGATTTTCGCGAACAAAAAAAAAAAAGCAAGGGAATCCTGACGAGGAAAACGAGGACGTGGAGAACCGAGAGGAGAGCGATAGCGGGTGATAGCGGGCGAAATGGGTGAGCAGGCGGTACAGATGAGCGAGATGTGGTGGAGCTGAGCGAGATTCTATCCGACTTTTGTGACGCAACTGATATATTTTTATCTGACTGCTCGTCAAACCATCCCCACCCTCGGGTTTTTCTAATATCAACCAGTAAGATATGTATATACAAATATGATTATATTCAGCTTCTAGAAACGGTAATCGTACACGTTTTAAATGTAGGGCATTGTAATAAAAATACACAGAGGTCACGTGTTGTAGCTGCAATATTAAAAAATCATGACAGATAAAATGAAAAATAAAATAAAATATTTAGTAACCTTTATACACACAGATAATCTCTTGCCAGTCATTTGATATTCAAATTATATTTACAGAATAAGCACTTCCATTTTTGTAATTACTAATAAAAGATACAGTAATTGTATGTAACAGAAATCTGTTTTTTTTTTTTTAAATATTCAACTGGATTATATATTCTCATAAATGTATAAAATTATTAATGGTAATGGAGCTTTTTTTTTTTTAAATACATTCATCCATTTTTGTATAAAAAGTAAAAATCTAATTAAATTCCAAAATGCTAAAAAATAACCAAATGGAGCCAAGTATCAGATAGTATTGCATTATATCGCATTTTAGTAATACGTATTAAAGTATAACATAGATCGAAGTCAACATATCATTTTACAAGAGCGTAATTCAGTGACGTTTTACACACACGATAACAGAAAATTGCTTTGCTCTATATGATTATACATATGTCACTTTTTAATACGCAGCAACGAAACTGCTCGTAAAATTAAAACGACTGTACCGCACATATCGTTTTTTATTACTTCACCAACGTTTGACGTATACGCTATCCATCGAGCAATATATGGCTTGTTGCCTGCATTATGCAGCCATGCGATTCGACAAAAAATAACTTGTTGGCGCTCACTGTTTCGTAATGATCGATATGTGGCATAAAAACGGACGGTATAAAAATCCATTGCTAGGCGACGGTATTCACGCGCGCTGCAGGGAGGGGATTATTTTCAATAGAGATTATACATATAAAACAATCTGCGCGCCCGATACGGCGATAAGCCCACTGCGGGTTTATCGTCGTGGTGTAATATCGAAAAGAGCTCGAGGTTGGTGGTGTGAGAAAGAATCGAATCGTGCGGTGGAGAGGAGGGAGAAAGTTATTTTACAAGCAAGCGGATATGCCGAGGCGCGAAATGGCCCATTTCACGAGAGGTGCCCACGACTCCACGTACGATATATGTACACACACGTGCGTCCCGTACACGTGCGACCGTTAACGTAACGCGAAAGCGCTGGTGTTCCGTAGTTTATTTTGGCCTTTAACGCAAACAACAAGGATGATAATGCTCGGTCCCGGTTGACACTCGCAACGTGCAACCATGCGAGTCTGATTTTCGACATCGAGTGCATTCCCGCAACATCCCACGGGATCTAGCAGCTTTTGCTAGTGATTTCCAGTTGGATTGCGCTCGTCAACGTATGGTCACTCACTATTATTGTAACTGTCCGATAATGATGCATCCTACGTACCGTGATGATGACCCGACGATTGTCCCGGTAACAGATTCCTCGCTTGTCGTCCTGTAACACAAAAGAGCACAGAAAATGTTGGAGGATAAAAAAATTTAAGACAGCGCGCAGTTAATAAAGAATTTTATTTCTTTATCTCTTAAATTTTTATTCGAATCTCTTCGTATTTGTACCATTGTTGTTCAAACATCGAGAAAAATCACGTATTCAATTAATTTTTCAGATATCAACCGAAGTAAATTAATTTTTGCAAACTTCGATCGTTGCTACGAGGTTGTGATAACAACGATGTATCAACAACGGAACAGTATCAGAAATCGTAGAGCGTGCCAACGTGAAACAGATCGAAAATCCGATTAGATCAAAAATGTTATGGCGAATCAGTTTAATCGAAATCCATTAAATTGAACCCGTGATTTCGAGTACTTCGATATCGGAGTAATATTACTCCTGGACTCTCGTTTAACGGACGGATACTCTGGTATAGAGAATACCTGCTCTACGCTACCAGTATTGACCTTTATGCCATATCTGTTCCAAAATATTTGTTTATGAAGTCGAGAAGAGAGAAAATTAAATCTTCTTCTATATATATATTTCTATAAACGCAAACCAAATTTCAAAAGTTACGAAATCCTATTTGTATCAATTTGCTACAACAGAGTATATTTGGAAGGTATAAGTTAAAAAAATTTGTTTTACTATTAGATGCAATATTAATTCTGACATCAGACTTTAATTTAATATCTAAAGAGACAAAACTTAACATTTGAGAATATAACTTAATATCTGTCGATTACATGATAAATATATGTTCAAAAAATTGGTAGATAATCTAGAAAAATTGATAGCACTAGATCATTGTAAAACGCCATGTAACAAAACGCGAGATGTAACAACGCATATTAGCAATATTTTGTCCACAACATGTCATTTGGACACAGTTTCATAGATTTATGTGCGAGATGGTGCATCGAAATGACAAGTGACATGCAATGAACACGAGCATACATCGCTAGGAACATCGTTTACGCCGTTCGCAAGTGACGCGCATCACTTCGACAGCATACAACTTATGAGACTTATGAGAAATTTATCTTACCTATCATATTAAACGTGATGATCATAAAAGTGGGTTAATATATTGTTATAGTATGCAAAAAGTTGTATCTATATGGAAAACTTTTCAAATTCACGTACATGATGACGCATAAAAAATATGTGGAAAATTTAATAATAATTTCAAAAATTACATAATTTCTAGCAACGCGTTAATGTAAAAAATTAATATAACAAAAAGTTAATATAAAAAATTATATACCTAATAATGCGACGATTGATTGCAGTGACGAAGAAGCAGCGTAGCAAAAAAATGTGTTATACAACGCCAAATTTGTTGATCGAGAATAAATGTTACGAAACTCGATGCAACCTCGTCATTCGTTCAACCATTTGTCCACGATCGTCCGCCGCACTATGCAAAGGTAGAATGTCGAATGACTGTGGCGACTCGAGCCGAGTTCTGACGAGTGTAAAATTACAACGCGTTGTTTTAAAATATTTCACGGAGCTTTTTTATACGGTTGAAAAATAAATCTCACGGTCCATGACTTTCGTACAGCCATTAAATCTATCGATAACAAAAGCGAACCATGACAAGTGCGTCATAACCAGTGGCTAAATCAGAATAAAGTTTGTAAACTTATTGATGATACAAATACACTTAGTTATCTTATCGTTTTATCCGTCTTATTGTACCTACTCATTTTTATATACTATTTGTAATGTTTAATTTAGTGACGATACAGTTTCTCATGATTCTTTTTTCAAAAGAAAAATCTGACAATCAATAGAGCTTTTCCATCAAAAATTTGGTTTTGTTTTCGCTACATTTTAAAAGTGTTTTATACTGAAAAAACTATATGAATGTTTTGTTAAAATGATTTCTGTTTATAGTCTTTTGCAAATTATACTTGCAGAACTGGCGTCGACATAACAAATAAATGCAATAAACATTTCTCTCTAAAATTGTTGTATTTCTGACCCTTTCTTCAAAATGTCCAAGATCCATTAGCAAAAATTATACATTCCATCCGGAATTAAATAATCTATTTTAAAATTGAAGGAAAAAAATATAAAATACGCTACCGTATATTGTGTATATGTATTTGCAATATAGGTCAGTGCGTACGAATCGTCGCGAGTTTTGTTGATGATAACGCGTGATAACGTTATGATATTTTCCAGCGAATCCGAGGTGACGAAACTATCTAAACTTGGAGATTATGACAACCGTTTGTCGCGAGTTTAACGATGTTCAGTGACGGTGCTTCCCCAATAGTTATATAACTTCGTGCGTCTCATAAATGCGAGCCACGGAGCAACTTGAGGATAATTACATTCACAGATGACAGAGAGTAAAATTACTTGCATTATGAGCACGAGACTAGTAGATTACACGAGGGAAATGTAAATTTGTAAAAGCCAATATATACGCATGTTTTGTGTCCTTCGCGCACAAGTGAAAATTTGAAATTACAATTACGAGCACTCTGCGAATAATTACACGGCGTGTTATAATAAATTAATAGCGAGCATAAATTTGTCAAAATGTGTCGTTTCATTTACCTTTGATTTTGACAAAAAATTTATAATATTGTAATTCTGTGAGATATAACTCTACAATAAATGTTTAATTTTAAAACAAATCTATTACATGAGGATTTGTTGCTCTATAAAACAGATGTTTTATATATTATAAAAATCAAACAATGTCCTTGAGGCAATAGGATAACGTTTTTAATTAATGATATTGCTGAAGATGACTTAAAAAATAAAGTCGAAACGTACGTAAGAGAAGACAAATATTGGAATTTATTCGCAACCCTACATCCAGCGGTGGATTCCTATTGCCTCAAGGACATTGTTTGATTTTTAGAATATAAGGAGTGATTTACTTTGTTATTTTTAATATTAACTAAAGTTTTTTGAAAATTATTTATATATTATATTTATTTTTATAGTTTTGTTAAAATATATGTGAAAGTTAATATCCATACAAGTCAAATCTATCCAAATTTAATAATATTAGGTACATGAGAAAAATCACAGAAATAACGTATTCTTTTATACTTTATGGTATTTTTGTTACAGCTCTTTTCTTTGCGATTCAATTGAGTTTTCAACTTTTTTGTTACGTTCAAACTTGAATAACTGAATTCCATCCATTGACCACGACCGCTGTTCCATTCGAGCTTCGCTAACAGTGCACTGCTAAGGAAGGTTTCATTGTTGGAGTTCGCATACGAGCCATTCTACCGTGTCGCTTTTTTTCTCTCTCCCTCCTTCTCTCTCTTTTTCTCATTCAGCACTGGCGCAACCACCACTGTGCAATTGCGCAACTGCATTTTCTGCACTATGGCGTCGATGTTTCGAGCGGTGGCATTTATTTAGGACGTAGCCTCTTCATGAAACTGCGATATCGCGTGCGTCCGTGGTAAGATTAATGGACCAATCTTGGCGCCGACACGGTTACGCGCAATCAGGAGACAGCTTTTCGGAGCTTGAACCTTTCATCGCGATAGCGACGTAGATATAATACATATACATGTTAGCTACGTGATATGCTACGCCCGGTTTACGCAGTTCAGACTATTCAAGTCAGCGGTATTTACTTTACGTACCACCACGTAAACTTCGTGAAACGTAACCTGCGCTTTACGTAGCAATGTAACAACAGCCATAGAATCGTGTTGTATGCAGAGAGTAGAAAAAATGTTATCGTTGCGAATAAATTGGAAATTTTACGACGTTACATCGCCATTCCATATTGTGAGATGTTTTAAGCAACGATCAGTCGTTCACCGAAAAACATAGAATTCTAGATTGTTAATATTGCACGACTCTTTATCTCGTTCAAAAACGGTGAAAACGCAAAAACGTTGTAGACGGTTATCGAACGATGTAATATTTGTTACAGACGATCGAGTCACTAGGGAACGGAATCGATTTGTCTTTTCTCGTGAATTCACATCGAAAGGTCAAACTGCCAGGAACTATTTATCAAGAAACCGGAATACTAGAAGGAACACTAAAAAAAAAAGGAAGGAAGTCGCAAGAAAGAATAATGAACCCGCTTGAAAAATCGAGGCACCTCACCAAATTATTGTTACTTTCTTCGCGTTGTGTTTTATTCGCTGCGTTTCTGTAAAACATTGTCGCTTCTCTTCGTGAAATAATAACTGTCACATGAAACTTATTATCAATAATCTTGTTATTTCTTCTGTATTTCTATAATATGATTAATTGATGAACAAAAAAAAGTTTAAATAATATATTAAAATATGTATAAACTGTTATCATAAAAATCTGCAATATTAAGACTTATATTATTAATTTATTATAACTTGTTTACAAATATAAATAAAAATCATTATCACCAGAAACGTTATGTTTTAATACAGAATGAATTGTGTAATTAATAATTTCTCCAATTAGATATAAGGGCGATTGGGGAAATTGCGAATATGGGATAAACGCGAATAATACTATTGCAATATTAGAGTAGTGCTAACCTCTCATTTCTCGCATCCAATGATAGTCCAATATACGCTTACAATTAGTACCGCATAACACGTGATCATAATACAACATAAATACAACATAATACAACACACACGAGTTCAAGGTAAATATCATTATATGTTGCGATAATTTTGATGCAGGAGAGAATGTAAGTATTGTAAACGTCCTTGTTGTTTAAGGGAAAAATTAAATAAATCCGATGATTATTTATCAATTACAAAAATGTTTATTTAAAAAATATTAGCCTTAATCCACAATAATTAACATTTACATGTTATTAATGTTATTAAAATTATAAAATAACTATAATTTAAAAAAAGAAATTGATTCGACATTGTCTCGCGTGGCAGCTTTTGCTTTTTAATTATTTTTTAAATTATAGTTTATACTGATAATATATAAATGTTAATTATTATAGCTTAAAGCAAAATAATTGAAATATCTTTTGAATAAAGACTATTAATTGA